GAAGTTTCAAAATCAAGGAAAGCTTTATATTTTATATTAATGTAACAACAATAACTATAAAGATGCTTATTCACAATCTCTGTTTTTTTTTTTGAGACAGGGTCTTTCTATGTAGTTCAATCTGGTCTTAAACTCAGTAAGTAGCCCAGGCTGGCCTGGAACTTACAGTGATCCTCCTGCCTCAGGCTTCTGAATGCTGGGATTACAGGCATGTACCACCATATCCTACTCACCATGTCATAATATACACTACAGCTACCACCACTTAAAGCACCTGGCTACCACCAGACTGTAAGCGCACTGAGAGAAGAAAGCACGTCCTATACTTCATTGGTGATTCTGCCCCATGTACAGGGCACATTCAACTTGCAGCAGAGAATGCTACCTGGTAGACACAGTAAAGGTAAGTCCTGTGCTGTTAATGGCTCACTTTTGGAGAAGCCACTCATGCCAAAGCCTTCAGGATCAGGATTCGGTACCTTGAAAAAAAAATGCATTTCACCTCCAAGGACACTAATCATCTGGCTTATAAAATGAACCATCTTAGTTTTATGTTCTTCAGTCCTATGGTTCTGGTATTATTTTGAGGTGGAGTCTCACTGTTACCTAGGCTGGTCTTCAACATGTGTGCTCAAATGATCCTCCCGCCTCAACTTCCCAAACAGCTGGAATGGCAGGTGTGTATCACCATGCTCAGCTGATAGCTGGTATTATTAAGTGAATGAAAATGTATGTTCGCTGGATGTGTTTTGCTGGATATTCAGCTATCTGAAGAGGTGTAGGAAAATGAAATCATGGTATTTTCAATGCTCACATGTGACCACTTGTGTATATAGCTCATCCTTTACTTTTTGTTGGATGGAAGCTTGTGGTGTTTTGCCTAACTAGCTTTAATTTTTTCTTTGGGACATTTTCTCTGGGGTCATTATGTTCACCTAGGCCTAGGACCCTTATCTGCTCCCCTGCACAGCTCCTCCCCAACTTGCTTCTGTGGGTCTGGGAACTGATTCTTGCTTTCTGTCACTTGATCTAGAGACTTTTACAGGACTTTTAACAGCAGGGCCTCCATTTGCCGGGTACTTGCTCATCTGTTTTGGCTATTCCACAGCAGCCCTGTGATGTTTCAACATTCCAGTTTCCAACAATGGTCTTTAGAACCACAGCAAGCAGTTTACTTGCCAAAACATAAACAAGAGATCATTTTAGTGGCTAATATACAAGCTGAAGCTCCAAGAAGCAGTCAGCAGATCTGAATTTCACTCTACGCCTATATGAGTACACCATTAAAACAATTCTAAACAATTCTGGGGCCAGGCATACCTGTAATCCCAGCTACTAAGGAGGCTGAGGCAGGTGGATGGCCACATTTGAGGGCAGTCTGAGATACATGGTGAGATCCTATCTAAGAAAGAAAATCCTTTGGCAAAGTGCTTGCCTAACATGCAAAGCCCTGGGTTCAATACCCAATATGGGGCAGTGTGGGGGGGAAGGAGTACTCCTAAACCAGCCACTAAAACTCCTAGTGGCTAAGTACATGCAGATAATAGGGTATAAGGAGGTTAAGCAGCGTGGCTTTTGATAATTTTCTAGAATGGCATGCCTAGGGCTAAGTGAGGTGTGTCTGTCTGTAGAACGGTAATTGCTTTCCTTGTTCTTCTCTTAGGTGATATACTCACAGTTCATGGATCAAGAATAGATCCCTTACTGGAACGAGTAACCTGATTTGTAGTTCTGTCCCCTGTACCCGTGACTTATAAAAATGAATTTCTAGACCTGGAACACTGGGAACAGAGCAGAGACATCCACCACTGGAGAGCGAGTGGGAGGAGGTGGGGAACTCGGCAAGGCTGTCCTCACAAAGCAGGCAGCTGGCCCGCAGAATCCCCTCCAGCCTGGCATGTTACAGCCACACATTCACTGAGACTTGAAAGGCACACGAACTAGCTGGGTTCTCCACACCACACGCCTCCATCACCAACACTTCTCAAGGAGCTGCAGGGATTCCCAGTGGGAAGGGGTGGAAAGGGGAAAGTTCCTCCTGTGGGACTGTCAAGTAAAGCCCCCTCCAGTGCTGCCCCTTCTACGCTTAGTCCAGCGCAGATACCCATATGACCACATATGGAGCCCTATGCTTCACCAACACCCTCTTCCAGGAAGAGTCTAACGAATGCGTGGTGTATGTGCAGGGGGCAGGGCAGAATTCAGAGGGAGGCTGGCAGTAGATAAGAATGGAAGAAATCAAAAATCAGCTCTGAAGTGCCAAAGGAAGGACTGTAAGACACTAAATAGACAATGTAACACTGTCCTGCATGAGCCCGGTTAAGTTTCTGAAATCTAACTGAATGGGATTTACATAGATTTGCGTTAACAATGACGACAGCCACTGTTCCCCAAGCTTGAACCCCGCCGATTCTGAATGTTTACTCCACAGACTTGGGCCTTACAACATGATTTATAAGTCAATCATACTATTTTAAAAATGTTGAATCAACTCTGGGCTCATATTAAGCAAAAAGTGCCACAAAACCTCACTTTATTTTCTAAATTTCACTTTAAAAGTTCAACAGTGTCTGCAGAAGTTTAGCTACTCTAATGTTTACTAAAATAGACTCATGCCAATAAAGATATACATATTATGTTTGATGAATACTCTTATATTTAACAAGAAAAATATTTCTACAGCAAGCATCATTAACTAGAAGTTATAATGCTTCAAATAAATTCAAATCACAAATCTCCTAGGCAGACTACCTTTTCATTAATAATTGAAGTTTTATTATTAACACATGGATGAAAAACTTGCCAAATGTGCCAGGCAGCAGTAGTTCAGTTGATTAAAAGATAATAATTCTTAATAGGCTCGAGTCAACCTAGCTCATGACTACCCCTCACTACTCACTATAACCATGTCCTGGCTTCACAACCTTTCTGCACCAACTCCCTTGGTTTTCACACTTCAGGACTTCTCGTTTTTGCCTCTCCCTAAAGGTTTTGCCTGGAATCTGAGAGCTCTCCATACTCTTCTACCTCCAGCAGGAAATTGCTGCTGGAGGAACTTCCTTCCAGGGCCGAGCCTTCCCTGCAATGCAGGCAGGCGGGCGGGGAGGCGGGTATGCAGTATAGGCTTCCTAAAACAGATCCCACACCCTGGGCCACACAGCCCTGTGGTGAGTGAAGCCACAAGCTCCTCACACCTCCGATTTGCATTCCAGTTCACAGAGCCATTCCACCCACTAGCAAACAGTCAAGCCTGTTGTAAAACTAACCAGAGATTCACCTCATCTATCAATGAGAGGGCCAGAGCAGGGGATGGATAAGTGTTCCTTAACCCGGCTAAATCCACCAGCGAAGGGGGATACTGTCTCAAATTTAAACTCTGGAAATCAAAATGGATGGAAGAAGCTGGCCTTGAGTTCAAGATGGGCTCCAAAGGCGGAGGGGGCTGGGTTCAGATCTCTCTTTAGAACTACCCAGGTGCCTGACAAGGGGCAAGGTTCCCGCTTTCCTTAAATCTGTTTCCTCCTCTGTAAAATGGGGATAATAAACTTACCTTGCAGAGTTGGAGGAGATTTCAGAGCAAAGAAACAGGTAATTTATGCAATGAATGTCTGGTGTACAAAACACTTGGTAAATGCTAATGCTTCATGGCTGGAAGTAGGTTGGGGCAGAGAAGAAAAACCCGGGGTCCGGAGCCAAACTGCTGGGTTTAGAGCCTGTCCCTAGCTTTAACAACTGAGGACATCTGGTAAGTGACATCAACTTCCCTGACTCAGTTTCTCTACCATGAACGTGGAATTTTACTACCACACACAGTCAATAGCTAACAAAAATTAGCTATTTTTATTTCTTTGAGAGTACAATTCGCTTGTGCTTTTTAACCCATAGTGTGTGGAATTAAACAAGACTTTGGTACAATGGGCATTTTTTTTTTAATCGTAAAAACTTTGTATTCATTTAAGAATTCTGGGGCCGAGTCAAACTGTGATGCTAAGGGTGGGCCGGGAAACTGTAATATGCAGGAAAAAAATTCAAAGAGGGGCGTATAAACCACCCACCAGGGAGCTATTTCTTTTGTAATGTGCATTCCATTTCTTCTCCCTCATGCTTCTTAATTCCTTCCACATTTCCTGCCACAATTATCAAATGTTTAGTTTCTGACCTCACTTTTCTGGAGACTAGAGCCCAGGGAATTTAGAATTGTTTATTTTCTGTCCATAAACCTTTGAGTTAATGGAGGGGCTTGTGAGCGAAGGTTTTGTTGGTTTGTTTGTAGTGTCTCGGGAAGGTCACTGGAGTTGAAAAGAAAACATTACCAAAAAGAAAAAAAAAAAAAAAAAAAAAAAGCGCTGAAATGCTTTAACTGGAAACTGCAGAGCCCCCAAAGCCCAGAGCCATGGATCTGACACTTGCGCAACCTGAGCTTAAGGGTAAATTTAGATTTTAAGAGGCCGTTATATGGCCCAGATAGTAACACAAAAATCCCAGAGCATTTACAAAGAAAAATATAAATTTCAGGAAATCATAATTTCACTGTGCAAGAGACAAAAGAAAATCTATTTTGCCCCCGAAGAATCTCCGATTCCGCTCCCCGCTCTCCCCCGAGGAGACAGACTCGGAAAAGTCCCTAACTACTCTCAATTTCCTCCAAGCGAAGGAAGAACTCAAGGCGCCTTTTGGAACTCGGCGGCCGCTCTCCGGGGTCGCCGCCTCCGTCCCCGCCGGCCCGGA